ATTTTATGTTAAAAATCAATTTTGATGGATTTTTGGAACAAAGGTATGCATTGATAGAAGATCAAGATGCATACAGTTTCCGTCCCTAAATCTGATTTAGTGTGAAACATATGAATAGATAGATACAAAGGGAAGAACAGTTAGGTTTGTGATATTTCTTTACACGACTAATATTTTGACCTTTTTTTCCATTTGCTTTGGATAATCACTAATATGACTCATTGTCCTGATGAGGTAAAATTAATCTTGAGAGAGAAATTAAAGATGCCAAACCACGAAAATTTCCCACAGGGAAGGCTCAAGTTCCTACTTAGTACAACTGCTTGAATGTATTTGAAGAGTTTTGGTAAAAAGTACTTCGTGGTCTTTTTTTAAATGTCTGCTAACTAGTTCATATTGCTAATATTTATGTTGCCTATACATCTTTTTTACTTTCATACATGTATACAGTACATCTTGGTCATATTCATCCCTTACTCCTTCCCTACATTATCCATATCCTATTTGAAAACCCATCTCAGAATGAGAGAAATGTAGATGTAATTTTTAAAACATTCTACATTTGAAAGTGCACTAAAGTCTTTTCTAATGCAAAATTGCACTTCATGTTAAGCAAGTCAGCTACCTTTAAAAGAGGAGCCACAGAATTTTAGACCTACGACCAGATATATCTCAATGCAGTGACTTCAGCAACTTTAAGTTGAATTGTCAAATCCAAATAAAGTAGAGAAGCAGCTACTAACACCAGATTTCTATCAACTTTGTCTCATTCTGGAGTTCCAATTTTCTGGGCCCAAGATTTTATAACTTCACTATTTCAATTTCACACATGCTATACAGATATATTCAATATTTTTCTGTATTGAATTTCCTTTTTAAAAACTTAACTAAAGAAAACTTTCTCCTTCTGTCATTGAATAAACTGGGACAGTTGCACTATTCCAAGCTTGCAGGCCATTTCCACCCAAGTTGGAATAAACAGTATTGCTTGCTATATGTGCAAAATGACCAGGGCCAATAGTAAGATACCCCCTGAAACTGAAATTGTGCTATATATATAACAGTTAAAAAGTGTCCTTTAGAATAGCTTCCTGGTTTAAAGGGGAAAAAAAGACAGCACGATATTTTTGTTTTGGGCCCTAAATTCCCTTTCTTAGTTCTTCATTCAGGTTAGATCCGTTCATGATCATTTTCTATGAAGCCATTCATGAAGACCATAAAATTTAAAGATCTGTCTTTAATTGTGGCTTTTATTATCTGTCTTGTAATTCCATAACTTGACATGCTATGCCAGGAGGCAGGAGCATCTGCCTCCCCCATCCCAGAGTCAGTTTCACTGTGTCTCTCCTAAAGAAGAGTGAAGAGTCTTGCCTGGATTTGTCAAAGGGGTAGCCTCTCACCCCGCAGCATTCTTGTCCTCCACCTGCAACCCTTTTCCATTCACATGCCCTCTCCTTCCCAGACAGAAAATTCCGCAGAGCTCCAGGTCGGGCAAGGGGCGAGCCTGCCAGTCTGGTCAGCGTGGCGCCCCACATAGGCGCTCAGTGTCTCCCATGAGGACACCCGGCCCTTCCCATGGCCTCCAGGACCACAGGGCGACGCGGGAACAGCTCGCCTTCCCCGAGTTCTGAATGCAGGGTCTTCATTCCCACGCGGAGCCCTGAAGGTTCCCTCCCACAGCTGCAGCCGCCCCTCCATGAAAGTGAGATTTGTTATCTGGCCCAGCCGGGAGTAAGGAGAGGTGTCTGTTCGCTCTGGGCTCCAGCGCCACTCTCTGAACCCTCTGAATACCAGCTCTCACCGCCTGCCACTTGACTGGGGGCATTTGGCCTCTGCCGCGCGCGGGAGGGGGTGCAACTCTCCAGGGACCCTCTGGGTCCCTTTCCTCAGTGTGCATCTCTCTCGGTGTATTCATGTCTCTGTGCCACAGTCTTTGTCTCTCTGTTGCTCTTTCTTTCTCTCTCCTACACACGCGGGAGGGGTCGCGTTTCACAGCCAAAGCCAAAAAATGTCACACAAAAAGAGTGCAACAACTTCCTTTGACAAGGACCAAGGAGCTGATGGAGAAGTCCCCTGAGGCGAGCGGGCCCCTTCCCCCTCATGGTGCTGATGACCAGGTGCGATATTGGCTGGAGGTGATGGAGATACCACCGGGACCTACGTTCTTGTCCCTTCCCCTCCCCCCGTCAGGGACCCTGTCGCAATTTGTAATCTGTCCATTCTCCTGCACCCCTGGGGAGCGGAGAGGACAGAACGCCCGTAGAAGGGCACGTTGGCCTCGGGGATGCTGCGGTCCCCAAAGGGTCCAGGAGTGCGACCCGGACTGGAGTAGGGGAATTGGAGATGCGGGCCGGTGACCAGGAGAGCCAACCCCACAGTCCCTAGGATGCTAGGGCAGCGGCAACCTCTGGGCTGGAGGTGGGCTGGAGCCACCCGGAGCACCACCGCCTCCACCAGCGCTGCGCACGCCCCAGCCCCGCCGCGCAGCCCGGCGTTACCTTGCTGCTGCCCGCAGTCCGGCCCTGGCTGGCTGCGTCCGTCCGTCGGTCCCACGAGCCTCAGATGGAGGGCGAGAGCAGTGGCCCCGCGGCGGGACGGCTCTCAACGAGGTGACGGGAAGGACCCGAGACAGGCGCCCCGGCAGCTGCGGCCGCTCTCGCCGCAGGTCCTGCCGCTTTCAGCCGGCAGAAGCTGTCTGCGAGGCCGTGTCCTCCGGATTGCGGCGCCGGGAGCGCAGTGCTTGCCTCTGGCGCGGAGGCTGAGCGCTCGGACGCAGCGGGCTGGGGCGGCGAGGCTGGGCTGGTCACCCGCCCCTGGGTGCATGTTAATACGGCGGGGAGGAGGAGTCCCGCGCTTCCACCGCCCAACCACCGGAGCCGGCGGGCGGGTGGGAGGCTGCCACGGCCCGGAGCCAGCCGCTCCCACCAGCTACTACGGGGCGGCCACTTGCCCTGGCTCCAGCCCAGGCACGTGCGTCCCAGGCCGCGGGGAGGCGCCGGCGTCTCCGGGAGCTCTCTCACCCGCTCAGCCTTGGGTGGCAAGTACGTCCGCAGGACGCCTAGCATCGCAGGGATGGAACCTAGAGGCGGCCACTCGCTAGTAGGCGTGACCTATCGCTTTCCTTGCGCAGCATCTTTGGAGAAGTGAATCTTGCTCCTGTGTGGCCGGGGGTTGTTCTTTACCCTGTCACTCTATGGAGAGAAAGCAGAACTCATCCCGCTTTCCGCCACAGGAGATCCTGTTGGTGGGCAGAGACGGTTGAAAAGCTCTGTTATTCATCCTCGGGACCCGTGGTAGAATGCTTTGAAGACGTAATCGCTGAGTAGGAGACTCATAGTAGAAAGTCTCAAACTCGCGCATCACAGACTCACATGGACTTTCAGACGTAGCAACCATCGCTTTAAAACAATGTGATTCCTTGGCGCCTAGGTTTCCTCATTCTTAGATACGCAGCTCTCGGGTAGGTTGTGTGGATTAGATTACACGACATATTTTCTACCAATTCATCTTGCTTTTTAATTGAAGACAACCAGAGAAAGGAAAAAGAACCTCTTTTCTTCTGTTCTCTCACCTCAGCAAAATCCCCGACGACCCTGGAAGCAAAGGTCCCTTCCTGAATGCTGAGCATCACATCACTATATGCTCAGAAATTTTACAAAGGACAAACTAGCGTCACAGAAACAAGAGGGCTAATATTGTAAATAGGTGGACTGAGAAATGAGTCAAAAAGACAAACGGTCATTCAGTTAAGATGCGTCGAGCCTCTGCTCTGCTCACGTGACCTTGCACTGAGCATTGAGTATGACTTTGAGGATTAACACTAACATGTTAAAATGGTTTAAATAATTGTGCCTAATCACCATCTTCCTGTTTGCGTCCACCTCCAAAAAGAAATGGCATGTTCAGAAAGAAAGCCCTTTGTTCAACAGCTCCCAGAGAGAACATTATGTTGAAAAGTATGTAATCTTCTTTATGTAATTGTACCCATAAAGTTATAGCATAAGATTTAGCATCTGTTTTGTGTGCTATCTAATTATAAATATTAATAGAATATCCTTTTTAAAGACAACACTTCTAAAAATGCATAGAAGTGAAAAACAGTTTCCATAAAAATATGACTCAGATAAATAATCTCTTTCCACAATTTCACTAAGTGATTTTCCATTAAAGAGAGGAAAAATAATTAAGCTACTAAATAGAGGTGAATTCTCAGCCCTCTGATGCTCTAACAACATATTCCCAGCCACTTCAGCAATGGCTATATGGGAACACCTGGGCTTCCAATCAGGCACCAAGAAAAGGTATGTGAAATGTGAAAAAAGCCTTCATAATTTGGAAGGGGCAGCTACAGGGTCTGTCCAGGCTTGTAAGTATGTTTAATACATAGATTTAATTTTTTTTCTTTTGCTTTATTTTTATTTTATGTGTATGTGTGTATTGCATGCATGTATGCAAGTGCACCTCTGTCATGGAATGCCCGAGGAGGTCAGAAGAGGGTGTCATATCCCCTGGAACTGGAATTTCAGATGGTTGTTAGCCACCATGTGGGTGCTGGGAACTGAATCCAAGTCCTTTGCAAGAGCAGCCAGTCAGCTCTCTCTCCAGCTCCCAGTTCTGATGATCTTTTGACTGTAAGTGACAGAAATTAAATTTGGCTAACATAAGTGAAAGTAATTTATTGGAATGATTAAAAATTTCCAGAATTAAAAATTAGCCTGGAAATCAGTGTTGGAAGCAAGCAGAATTTGAGGCAATGCTGACAGGCTAGAAATTAGGAAAGATAACAGTTTAGTTGTGTTATTACACAGTCAAGAAGATTAAATAATGATGGTTTGGTCTAATAACCCAAATTGGACCAGTATCATCATTAGTTTGACCGTCTGACCAGCCAGACTTCAAACAGGCAATAACTGCACCAGAAGGCAAAGAGGACACATTTGATCCCTCAATTTTTGGGACATAAGGCAGGCACATGGATTTGCCATTCGTAGATGTGCATATGACTAGAAATAGGTAATAAATCAAAATAAGATCAGAATTCAGAGAACAGAGGATTTCAGATTGAGATTTCTTAAATGATAAATGCCTGGTTCATTGACTAGCTCCTGATTTTATATTATGTTATATACATGAATAATTTACATTATACATAATTTGTATCATATATTCTTAATTACTTGGAAATAAGTAATGATATTTTGTTAGGAAAACTGATAGCATTTCTTTTTGTTTTTCATGTGCTTGTATTCAAATTTTAAAATTTTTCTTAATGTCTAGCATATGCACAGTTATTAATATAAGCAGAATTAAAACACTGCTATAAGTCAGGGTTAGTCAGCTGTACCCATTTCAGCAGTTTCCACGTGTTAATTGAATACTAGCTATAAAAAGATATCTAAGGCCTAATCCTTGGAACGTTGCAGATAAGATTAAGTTGAAAATCTTGAGATAGAAAGATTTTTACCCTTTATACTGTTGAAGCTTTGTAATGACAAGTGTCTTTTTCAGAACCCACAAAGAAAGCCAAGACCAGAAAGGAAAAGTGGGATGCTGCACTAGTCAGTTGAGGATGGGGGCCATTAGGAGTACTGGTTTCTGGAAGATTAAAATAAAAGTAAGGAGGGGCTGGAGAGATGGCTCAGTGGTTAAGAACACTGGTTGTTCTTGCAGAAGACCCGGGTTTGAATCCCAGCACCCACATGGCAGGTAACAACTGTCCGTAACTCCAGTCCCAACAGCCTCTTCTGACCTCCATTCCTCTGTGGGCACTGCATGACATGGGTGCACTTATCTACATGAAAAAAAAAATAAATAAAAATTTTTAAAAAGATTTTTTTAAAAAATAAAAGGAAACAGTTTTCTGGAACCTCCAAAAGGAAGAGCAACCAGCGTGCTAGGACCCTGACTTTGGTCCACTCAATATGACTTCAGACTTCGATCCCTTGAGTTGTAAGATGATAAGTTATTGTTGCTTCCAGCTACCAAGTTTGTACTAATCATTACTAGTAGCCATAGACAAATAACATAGACTGTTTACCTGACCCCAGGAGCACCTTCCTAAAGGCACACTATTGGTAACAGGTTACCCAAGAGCCTTCAGTGTGGGGGGCAACAGAAAAGTATAACCCTCCTGAGGAGGGTTATGCAAAGTTGGCTAAGTCAGCAAACATGGTTAAAATAGAATATTTGAAATGACATGCAGACAGGTTTCCTGTCTAGGAATTGCTAACTCTCTGGATGAATCAAAATGGCAGCATTATACCTTGACTACTACGTGATCAAGCAGGAAAAAGTTCAGTTCAAATAAGCAATGTTTGAAAGAACTCAAAGGGCTATTTGAATAGTAAGTGTGAAACACACACATTTATTTTAATAGAGCATTTGTGTAATTCCTAGTTTTAAGTAACAATGAAATGACATGTAATTCCAGATCTTCAGCCTTGACATCGCCACTAGTTTTAAGATTTTTGAATTCATAAACATACTATAAAAACCCACATGATGTATTCAGACATTCCAAACATAATAGAACCAAGTTACTCATCATCTACTCTTCTCTTTCATTCAATTTTATTTCACTTTGTGAGCATGGATATAGCCCAGTGGTGAAGCACTTACCTATCATTTGTGAGGCCCTTTGTTTAAGACATAGCAGTGAACAAATCCCTACTTCCTCTTGTATGCATCCATGACAATATGATCCACTGAGTCACCGGTTCATTAGCACCAGAACATGTTTATCATATAGACTTCTGTACTTACCAGTTAGCTTTAAACCACCCCCACTCTTGACCTCTTTCACCACCTAAATAGGTCTTGAATGCTTCATCTATTTCCATTGCTAGTACACTTCTCTTGGGCCTTCATCATCTCCCTTCTAGTTCATGCTAATATCCTCCTAATGGCTTTGCTTTAACCCAGGTTTTTCCTTCTTTCCTTCAACAAGAATGCACAAGAATGGTACTATAAAACATCAAATTTTGGTCATGTTATTCTATGTCTTTAAAGTCTCTCATAGCTATAATTTCTTATATAAACTGAAGCTCTCATGTTGATATACACACGCTCCATATTTTGTTCTTACCATCTTCAGTCTTTGCTCCCAAGATTTGTGCACTTTACTCCAGCAAGAGTATCATTCATGCAATTTTTTTGCTACATAAATGCATAACCATCTCAAGCTGTTCTTTCCCGAATGCTCTAACTTTGATTTTTATTGGGAAATATTTATTTGTCCTCCAAGGATGGCTTCAGTAAACCATTTTGCCTCTTATTATATTGGATCAAATGTTGCGAACATTGATCATACTTATCCCATATTAATTTTTTCAGGTTATCTGGGCTGTGTTTTTGAGATTCCATCCCAATTTCCATCCGCAATAACTAACCTTGTAATTGTCTTTCCATGTATATATTTGTAGAATTCTTTTGACCTTAACTGCTTTGAGAATGTTTTATGATGCCAGCACATATTTTAATACCACTTAATAGAAGTCTGTGTGGCACAGTTTAAAATATTGCAACCATAATTTAAACTCACTACCTTCACATGGTTCAAAGACAAAGAATTTCCGTTTTCTTTCTTTTTTTAAAAAATTTTTAAAATTTAATAACCACATG